TATGGGACTCCTGAAAACAACACAATCTAATTAACAAGTGTATATATTTGTATATATGTAGTTTTCATTTCACGTTTCAGCATTTTTCAAGCAGTGGCTGTACCTTTCATGTTACTATTTATGTGTTGCGTATTAATAGAATTGTAACACTTCTTACTGACTGGTCAGGTAAAACAACGCCTTCCTAAAAAACTACGACATCTACAAACTGTACCTGACCATCTGACGTTCCTGCTAATAAAGAAAAAATGGCTTAACTAATAAAAAAAGACGACACTTAGAAATAACACTAGATTATTTGGCATTCCTGCTTATAAAGGAAAAGTGCATAACTCTGTTTAAAAAACCGCGGATCTGCTACGTCTCGAAAAACAATTGTATCCTGGTTCGATGTCATATCGCCTAGCTTTAGTAACAAGTAAAACGTCAAACTGAATAGATGTTGTTTAAGTGTAATTGTAATGTTAAGTCAGATAATCAGAAGTCGTTCCCACATTTTCCAGTTCATATGCCAATACAGATTTTTTTACCATTGAATTACCGTAACTTTCATATCTAAACCAGCCCAGTAACACTAATGATATTCATCCAAGGCAGATTTAAGTAATTTTTACAAATAACCGAGAATCAAAGTACATGTCTGATTTACAGGCAACCCCCTTCTCCTAAATGCCTTTATATACCAAAAAAAAGTTCGCCATACACCATGTTGGTATGCAGACACACTGACCTAAAATATATATACATATTAATACAGTCTAATTTTACACGTAGAACTACTGAGCATGACCGAACCATATATTGCCCGAAATGCACTTCCTGTTTTTTACTGCATATATACATAAACTTTGCTGTATTGTTTCCATTATAAAGAATACACGTTGTCACTTATATTAGAATGTAAGGCAGTGTCATTGAATATTAATCAATTGGACATGTTGGAGGTACTATGACAAATGATATTTACACAATTAAGAATATGAATTTAACATACTTCTGGTTAGAATGCAAACCGTTCAGCTGGCTAAATATGCCACAAGTTCCACAGTATATGTTAATAGCTTTAACCAGACATCTTGGTATAAAGACAAACCATACACAATCACACTAAGTACATTATTAAACCACATATCATTAACATCAAACAGTATGCACATACTTAAATGCTTATGTGTATGTAAAACTAGAATCCCGCGCCAATAGAACACAGGTCGGTATGCAGGCAATCAGATTTTGCATATCCAAGTAAATCAAATTAAGAGCTCACCGTACACACCGTGAACTGAAATTGTCAAGTAAATATGCCAATTTTATATGTTCAAAAATGCATAGGTCAGTAAGCTGGCAGACTTCTGAATTCCACATAATATTATTTTTTTTATCAGGGTTCGTCGGAAAGCTGGTTGATATGCAGGAATAAACCCCGAATGTTGCCGCTATTAATCAAAATTTAAATTTTCGTTCAAACGAAACTGTGTTGAAGGCTATACATTGACATGTGATTGTTGACATTTATATATTTTGGCCTCTGATGGGCAGTTGTCCCTTTGGCAATCAAACAGCATTTTCTTATTTTGATACACGTTGGTTATACAGGAGTAGAGACATGATGAATTCCCTACATATCAAAATAAAGTGATTAGCATTCAGGCGTACAGATTTGCCACTATAAACATTATCTGGAATTAGAGTTTAGAATACACCAAGTCTGAATGGAGGCATACAGACCTGATAAATGTAATTTTAAATAATATTGACTGTTCTGCATACACCAGGTTGATATGAAGGCATACTTACCTGAACAATGCCAAAATAATTATCATTTCAGGTTCTGCATGCAGGCATACAGACATGAGGCATGTAAATTTAAAATTTAGATGAGAGTTCAACATACAGCAGGTTCGTATACGAGAATGGAAACCTGACAATTGCATGTGAGAGACAAAAAAACTTAAATTAGCATACTCTTCACTGAAACATCTGAAATAAAGACTTGTAAATGCTATTTTAGATATATACTGCAAAAATGAAATAAAAATATTAAAAAAATACAGAATATGTAATTCATGAAGGTTTAATAGGCTTCAACTTTTTCCTGAGTATTGAAATAAATCATTCTTAGACTAGCATCTTATTAAAACGAATAATGCTAAAATGATGTAGTTTTGAATTTTCATTAAGAAAAAAACAAAGACCCACACTTGCAGGAAAATGAAAAACAGAAATAAATAATGCAACACCGAGACTTTTTAACGCGAAAAGTGAAAATCAGCCGGGTCAAAAGGTGTATCTTTTTCACACAAAAATGAGTAAGGTGGCATATGATAATTTCTAATTTTAGATGAGAACGTATTTATTATTGTTATGACATGAAAAGGTAACCATTAACTTCCTTGTATTACTACGTTGAAATTTTATAAAACTCTTTCTTCTAATGTTATCATTTTCTTTCATATCACACGGCAAGGATTTGATTTTACTTTTTTCAGTTATGAATTGGCATAAAACTTCATACACATATATGTGTACCTTCCGTGATAATAAAGGCTTCTAGCAACACACCACATCAGCATTTCATACATGTTTCTACATGTAATCATAAACGGTTTGTTGTTCTTTAAATAATCATTTAAAATTATCCGGTGCGCCACGCATGTCAGGTACGAATAATCACTTTTTATTACTTTGGTCAATCTATGGTCAATTTTAGTACGGTATTTATCTGGACTGAAACCAATTTTTAAGGAACCACGATAGGACAGAACATCATTTCCAGTTGTCAACAAACATGTTGAATTCCTCTTCCCCTGTATAATATCTTGACAAAGTTTATGATAATGATTTTCTGTAAGGTATCTTCTTTCTTCTGGAAGCAAATGACAACATTTAGTTTGATAAGATGTCAGTAAGGGTATATAACATCATGTATGCTTTATTCAGCTGATGAAAATTCACGGTTGCATTAATGTTCTTATCGTTTTTGTTTTTTTTTTGTTTTTTTAGCGTCTTTATAACATGATTCTTATTTGCACTGGTCTCAATGGATGGGGCTATTTTCTAGGTAAGGTGCACATGTGAAACTAAGTATTTCTACTTGGAGATGTATCATTTTAGCTTTAACACACTCTCAATTGTTTTGTTAAGATTAAACGTTTCTTTTGATTTCAGATGAGAACAAAACCCAATGTTATCTATGATATAACATTCCGATTATAATGCATACAAGGTAGCTACTGAACCAAGACATACATACTTGTTAACAAATAGTTTTCTTTTCGAAAGATTCAAGTACGCTATGGGGACTCGGCCCAGGCGTTTCATGGTATCTGTGACACATATGCCCACGGATACTAGTATGTTCAATTTATCCAAGCCACAATTCCAAACTGCCGTCGTTGATGGCTAACTACCAAACGCAATCAATCAACATATTGTTATTTAGAGTAACTATTTGACAGAAACAAAGCAGGAAAGAAATGATTACTATCATGCGAACCTGAAATGACCCTGTTTTAATGGGTTCATGTTAATCAATCTTTTGTAATGTTAGGAACATTTAAATGTAATAAACACTATTCTTGAAAGAAAAACTATTAATATGGGTGAACATGAATGATAAGGCAAACGTAAGTTTTCCAAAGTTTTGAAAAATGTTAACTGTTCATAACCTGTCAGTATAGACTTGCATATTTTATAACTTAGTGTAATAACAACTAATGTTGCTAATTGGAAAGCTTCGTCTACATAAGACCCATCAGTGGGTATCGAATCAATACATTTAAGATAGAATACCAAATCAAATACGAAGTTAAAGAGCATTAAAAACCGAAAAAATAAAGTTGTGCCTATATAGCTAACGCAGTCTATGACTGAGGGAAGAAAAACAGAAGTGTTTCAAATATTTCAACAATTTATGAACATGTATACTTGGCTCTCAGGTAAAACATGAGTCCTTTTGAAAACGCTAGCTGAGGGTTTTCCGAGTGGGTGATCGGGAAGTATGAATACACCAACACATTCGACTGAAGGTATACACTCTTAAAATTTAAAGTTAATTGAAACTGAAATCAACTGCCGGTTTGAATCGGTACAAAAAGCTTATGCTATTCACATCTTTCATTCAGATGTGCATGTGACAAGGAAGGACTGTAACAGTAAATCTTTATTTATTCACATAAGGATCATTAGAATAGCTTTCCTCATATGAAATTGATATACTTTTTTATAGGATATCATTAAGTTTAGTACATTTGTCAATCCCTTTTTTCTTAAGTACAACGTTCACATATTGTGAAGGATATGGGGTATCCATCCTTGTCACAAAACCTGTACATGCACAGTAAAAACACGAAAAGCAAAGGAACAACGCTTTTATTGCTTTACTTCATCATACAAGTTTTTTTCCTATAACATATGCACTTAAAAAAAAAAACATGCCTAGTCCAGATCTTTCGGATAATATGCATGTATAAGAAACATTCTAACCCAAAATATCAATCAAACAGATGTTTGACTTAACCTGTGAATTATTATTCTTCATGTTCTTATATTTTACTGACATTTATTAATTTCAGTGTGATCGATCATTTTCGTAAATTTATTTGATTGTTAAATTAACACCAATTTGAAGCACTGTTTTCAATCCTACAAATATACGACATTAATAGTAGCTGTTTACATACGTTTTTCGTTTGGGAATATTTTCAAGATAAAAGATAAGAATAACAAAAAAAGCATGATGTTTGTGCAGTGAATAGGAAATAAGAAATTCAAATATTTATTGTTTTATTAAAAGGGTTATCCTTTGAAATATTGCTATGTGAAAATTCTCAAATAGAACTCAATTGTACTGTTGGGAACTCAATAGACGATATTAACATTACATTTCATGACGTACATGACGCTTGCAGTCCTATAGATGACGTTTATAAAGGAACCATGAAAATTCAGAATCTTACCCATCTTGTATTGGCCACAACTCGTGTGTATTAACCGATAAAATGGTCAATATATCACATTCAGATGCGGACAAAACTTGGAAACTATTTATAGAATTTCACTGTGTTCGTAAGTAAATAGTTAAATTAAATATCAATGTTTGCAAATATCTTAAGGGGACTATATCAATGTTTAAAAAACAACACTTTAATAAGAAGATGCATGTATAGCTTGTATTGCTTGTAAAAGAGAGGTTGAAGATAACAAAAGGGTATTTAAACACGTAGATCGATTACAAACTGAAAATGCCATGGCAAAAAAGGAAAACGACCAAAAGGCAAACAACAGTTTTTAATATTTCTAAAGTTTCCTTTTTAAAGTATATCAATAAACACAATTGTATTAAACACACTTCTTATCGCCTCAAGTAGGTGCTTCTTGGCACAAAAAAGAATTGCTACGCATATTGAATCTAACAACTGGTCTGAAAAGTTACATTTATCATTTTTTACAGGAACACTTGATGAGGACCACTATGCAATGAAACCAAAATCAGTTTGTCCATACAATATGAAGTCCGTAAACTGTGTTCATGATGAAAGAAAAATAGAAATTCAGTCAGTTGAATTGAAGCAGTCTTTATTGTATTTCGAAAAACAAAATTTTGATACAAATTGCACAAAATTGATTCAGCAAAAAATAAAAACATCCTGCAGTGGAAAACAATGATGTGAACAACTTGTTTGGAACGAATCAGCGTTTACATGTGATGACTGTATTAGATTACCCGAGTTTGTAAACATCTCATTCAGCTGTAAAGGTCAGTCTAAATTATGATAGTATTTAGTATATTTTTTACTTCATACAAAAATTTCTATGCAAAATTGAGCTTTACATCAAATTACAATAATGGCACTAGACGTTTGCAAATTTTTGTGTATTGCATGCTATTATGTTATACTCAGTTAACTGATTTCTTATTGACTGCAATATGAATAATTTGATTCATATATTTAAAATAGAATAAAAAATATGGGCCACGATTTTCAAGCATTGTTCGTGGACTTGCGGGAATTTTTTACGTTTGAATAAATTATCAATTGGAATAAAAAGTTGATATTATATATGTTAAATGTTAAACTATGAATCACCATCCAATGATGTATAATAATTATATGTAATGAGCTATAAAATTTTAAATCGACATCATCAGCGCAGTTAATTTTACGAGATGTGATACTGCTTTCATATCACTTCACAAATTCTGTCAATTTATTTTTTCTAGTTTTGCATTCAGCATGTTCAGATTCTATATGTTAATAGATATTTTTCATTTTGAAGATCTGAAAATATTTAAGTATTAATTCGTTCATGCAAAATGTTATCGTTACTTATTTTCATTTCGAATACAATTTTTAAATAACAGCATTCATTTATAAACTTACAATGTTAGATAAATGTCATATCATTTTTAGTACGAACGACTCGTGTATATGGGATAACCGTCATGGTCTACACAAAGTTTTGGGAAACGAAACAGTCAAGTGCAAATCAAAACAAGGCTAACACACAACAGAAACATAACGTATCTTCAGCAACGAATTAAAATCAAAATGATTAAATATTTGTAAATAATTTTGCTATAAGAGAATTATGTCTAGCTGAATTAGATGTATTGTCTTCATAAGATTTCACGTTCAAATAAGTATACAACATCAGGTCAATGTATGAAAAATATCAACTTTTTTGTATGATGCTGCGACGTTTACTTCAATTGTTTCGTGCTGAATAAAAACAACTTGATTCTGAAATTGACCTAATATTGTTTTTAAATATGCAACAATTGTGTTTATTGAAATGTTACCACAAATTAAACTAATTTTCAATCCCTTAGCGAACCCTAGATTGTAAAGAAAAAGATGTGACGTGAAATCGTCATTGCACGAAATACCTATTTGTTACTATATTTAGTAGATAAAGATAACAGGAAGTAAAGCAGCTGCAGTATAAAATGGTTAACCTTTTATTATTTAACATGCTTGATTATTCAAATGAGTTGTATCAACTTTTACAGAATAGAATTCATATTTTCATATCAATTTTAACTTTTTTTGAAGTGTTAACGAAATATACGTTTAGTATTCATTGCTGGAATACGAATTGGAATTTCTAATCATTTAATTATCATCCATATAATCTGATAGAATCTACTAAAAACCAGCGATTTTAAAGGAATAATTATACGTTTCTGGTATACCTAGTTTTAGGCCTGGAGTCTTTAATGAGTCATTGCTTTGTCAAACACACACGCAAACGCAATGAAGTATTTATTTCCTATTCATAACTAACCATTAAAATTTGCAGATACTTATATTGAAGTGAAAAAAAGAAATGCATATCAATATTTATGATCTTTTAATATATCTTCCAGCAATTCCTATTGAACTCCCATTGCAGGCTGAAAGTAATGTAGAAGGTATGCAGAAGCAAGTCTTTTTGTGAAGTTTAATTAAAACAATACCAAATGATCAAAAGTTAATCCTAATGCAATTCATTTGTAACGATGATTTTTGTTGTCGTCGACATATATCCGTGAATATTTTGATAAGGTAGATTGCACGTTCTATCGGTCAGTAACTAAGGGAGCCGCCATTTTAAATTGCGGGATATTTTGATTTGCAATTATATAAAACATTTTAAAAAAATAGAAATACATCTTTTTACCTGAAAATCTCCTTTTTGTCAAAATGTATAACATTCTGGAGCGTACGCAAAGTCGAATAACATCCGGTGAATGCGTTTGACGCCGGGCGTGTTACTATGACGATGTTTAGATACTAATGAAAAGAACAAAGTTTCGGGGACTTTGTTTTATATGTTTTAAGCTTAGGCCAAAATAATAAGTGCTGCGGAAAATTGCATTAGAATGGAAATAACCGTATTGTCTTATTAACTTGCTCTACGTTAAAAATTGTTTTTACTGTCGGAAATATCCGTTTATGACGAGTTTATTAATAACTTTGCGACGCATCACTAGGTAAACTAATTTTGCGACGTAGGCCAAGCTTAAAATACGACACACTTATCTTCTAAAAATAACTTTTTGTGGAGATACAAGAATAAAAAGAAGATCTTTAGTCTATTGTTCTATGATATTGTTTATTTCAATTTACATACATCGTTAGCGTTTTGCAAATGATAAGACAATGTATTTTGCAACCATATGTCTACCTAATTTGAGGTAACCAGAAGAATTAAATGCATTAACATAAGAAGACACTAGGGTTTGGTTAGAATAATATACGTTATTTTTTCATGTTATGTAGGTGTTGCTGTCGGTGTCACAGTTGGACTAGTTATAATTATTGGATTCATAGTAGTTTGTATATGGTTTTATAGAAGGTAAAGTTATTTGAAACTGCTTTAGATATCTAACATTATAAAGAAAGATTTGTATTGGCAAGATCTAGTATTGGCTTTTCTTTTTATCTTCGATTTTTGTTATATAGCTGCTGTAGTATTCAAGAGTTCTTTTATACACCCATGGCTATCAAAGTTTGTGTTTGCGTGTTTCTAAAGTATGAAGGTAAATAAATAAAGGCGCTCTGGACGCAACAAAGTTATAAGTGTTATTTTCATAATATTAGTCCTAAATAATACTGGGCAAGCAAGAGTGAGAAAATAGTGATTTATTAATATATATTTTTCTGTTTTTATTATAGAAAAATGACAGATGACAAACGGAATATATCTAGTCATCAGAATGAAAATAATGAAAGCATGGGAGATCAAAACATCGCAAGTCCTTCTGACTCCAAATATGAGATGTTGTCCACAAATCTAGATTCAAGAAGCTATGATAAGTTATATCAAGATTTAAGGAAACAGAATGAAAATATTGATAACACTGGAGATCAAAACATCACAAGTCTTTCTGACTCCAACTATGAAATGTTGTCCACAAATTTAGATTCGAGAACCTATGATAAATTATATCAAGATTTTAAGCAACAATCTAGTCGAGATAAACCGGACGAAAACATTAAAGTCACCGAAAAGAATACGTTATTCCGTGCCCAGTACACCAAAAGGAAAAACGTAAAAAAACAAATAAGAACAAAACCGCCATCATGTAGAATCGAGCATTGAAACTGAACTCTGAAGACAAACAAAGACTTCATTGTCCAATTCTGCAGATTACTTTTCAGTTCTAGAACCAAACGGAACAGACTATCCTGTGCAGAAGACAAATGCCAATACATTCGAAATGACAAACCCAGTTATTGATAATAAAATGAGTATATAAGGAAGTATGTCTGAAAATGCGTTAAATAATTAGGAATTTTCTAAATATACTGCCGAAATTTACCCAAAGGAACTTACTTTGAATAAATCAAATATAAACGGTAATAACTGTCCTTTCCTATTTGAATTGTTTTACATTTGTCATTTCTGGGTCTTTTATAGCTGACTATGCGGTATGGGTTTTGCTCATTGTTGAAGGCTGTACGGACCTATAGTTGTAAACTTCAATGTGATTTGATCTCTGGTGTAGTTGTCTCATTGGTGATCAAGTCATATCTTCCCTTTTTTTTAATATAAAATATAATTGCCTTGATAATCAGTAGGGCATATATAGCAGACCTGTAGATTGTATGAATAGCGGTTCTTTTCATATCAGACAGACTGTTTTCACCGATACGACTACATCTATGGTTCGGCAACTGACGATACTTATAGTAAAGCATAACATTATGTGTTACAGCTAGCATAATCTTTCATATTCTTCAATATAATTAATGTTCTCGCACTCATTAATTCAAAGTTTATTGACTATTTCTATCTATCCAATCGTCCGAACTTCTACAAAGAATACAACAGTCAGACACATTTAAATCTGTCTCATATATTAACTTACAAATACAAATTGACAACAAATCCAGGTTAATCAGATAGTGCTCATCCTTCTGGAGCACATAAGAAGTTGAAAATGACTGATTAAAGTATTATGGTTTAAATTATATCTGAAAGATAATACCAGCCTTACTTCTGAAATACTTTTGATTTTAGATTGGGAAATGAGTACAAAATTATATAATGACATTATGTAATTAACCACATAAGGTTGCAATATTGAAACGCTGCCTCCCTGGTGATAGAGTCGGCCACCAGAGAACACAGGGTCACAAAGAAAAAGATCAAAATGATCTATAAAGTGTAAGGTTCGACGTCCACTGTTTACCGTCGGACCAAAACACGTTACAGAAAGGGAAATCGTATACTTGTGTTTATATATAGTCATATTCTCAGTTGTGAAATAAAATATCTGAATAAAATAAAGTTTCATATTTTATTAATATCAAAAATAATCCTTGACGGAGAGAATGGGTCTTGCCGGCTCTCTCACTGGTCTGGCCAGGTCCCCGGTAATGGTTGGTCTTACATATACAAACAAAACTAGTCCATAATTCAACAGTCAAGTAACAAGGTTGTCACTTATTAAGCATCTTTCTATAATCTCAATTTAAGGATATTACACCCTACTACATTATAGAAGACAACAACTTAGTATAACAAATTAAATGACATATTACTAGTAATCATGTCTGAACCGCCAACAGAACACTTAATGTGCACCTTCAATATCACTTCAATAGCACCGTCACCGGCACAGTCACCGTCACCGGCACAGTCACCGTCACAATCACCGTCACCGGTACCGACAACCGTATTTAGAACCGTCACCGTCACCTACAACCGTATTTAGCACCGTCACCGGCACCGACAATCTTAAATTAAAACAAAGTTAACTTTCAACGC